GCTCTTAGGAAAGCCTGATCTTGTGATTCTTACATAAAACCTCCATTTTGAATGATTTCTTTTTTCATGAGAAGTCAAATGAAGAAAAGGAAAAACTTGGTGAACCCTAAGATATAATTGATTATGTCCTATGGTTGTAATAAAGACCATTACCCTTGCATCAGAAAAGACCCCCAGTTGGGAGTAAGTTCATCATGAATTAGGCTGTCAGGTCACAATCACTGCTGTCAAAGAATGGTGGAAGAGATCCTTTAGTGCAATCACTGCTACAAAACAATGAGAAAGATGAGCTTTGCTCATCTTTGACATTCACTACTCAACAGAGCATGTGGGAAATTTTAAATCTCCCCTTTCATCCTTTGCTCCATTAATCATTCATTCTTTCTTCTACTCATGAACAATTTATTGAATATCTACTATTCAGTACATGACATGCACATACTACTGTGTGCCAAGACACAGCAGTGACAACACAAGAACAGTAATCATACCCAACACTCATAGAGTGCTTGCTTACCATGCACCAGGCACTGATCTCAGTGTATACATTAGCTCTTTAATCCTTGCACCAATCACCTGAGATAAGTACACGTACATGCCAACTTTACAGATGAGCAACTGAAATACAGAGAAATTAATTCCCTGGGTCATACAGTCATGAGTGTCAGAGCCAGGTTTGAAACCCACATCTTTTCACACCAGTGTCCAGATCTTGACCTTTATGCAATATGAAGAAAAACAGACATGGCTTTATGGAAATTTCCATGTGCTGGAGAAGACAGACATTAAACAAATGCACAAACAACTCTATCATCTTAAATGTTGATAAGATATATAAGAAAAGAGCAAGGTGCCATGAGACAGTATCATAAAATATTGCAAAACTCCTCTTGCAAGCTAAAAAATGCAATGATTATCTCTGATGATTTTCTTCTCACCTAAACAACAGTTATAAAATTTAAAAAAGGAAGTTGGCTACAAAGAGCTGAGAAAAACTAAGGCAAGGAATCAGGGGAAAGTGACTAAGCAATGCAGCCCTTAACCCATGCCACACAGCCTCATCATCTTGGTGGCCCTTCTTGTTGCTATACTCCAAAGAGCGAGGAGGTGGCAAACGCAATCCCTTTGCCTAAACTTATCTCTCCTGAATAAAGAAATCCAACCTGGAGCTGGTGCCCTTCTTCACAGATGAAAGCAATTACCCTTCATCTGCTGCTTTTGACCAAGAAGTCCATGGTGGATGTCTAAAAAACCATAAATTTTACCTTAATGCCCTAGCATATTTTTTAAGTTCATTCATTTATTTTGAGAGAGAGAAAGCACAAACAGGGAAGGGGCAGAGAGAAAGGAGAGGGAGAAAATCCCAAGCAGGCTCCCCATTGTCAGTGCAGAGCCCGATGTGGGGTTCAGACTCAAAAACCGTGAGATCATGGCCTGAGCCAAAGTCCGACTCTTAAGCAACTGAACCACCCAGGCACCCCTAGCTTAGTTTGTTTTTTTAAAGACTTTTTATTTTTAAGTAATCCTCACGCCCACCGTGGGATTTGAACTTACAACCTCAAGATCAAGAGGCACGTGCTCTAATGACTAAGCCAGCCAGGCACCCTTTAATGCTTTAGCTTCTTTAGCTTATTAAAAAAAGATAAGACTTCTTTGGTCTATAACAGTTAACACTTGTGCTTCTAGGGAAAATTCCAGACATGGTAAAACAAATAAACAAAACAACACCTTTATGAGACTTGGCTATTAATAGACGTGAAAATAGACGGAAACACTGATTTAAAGAGCAAGAACACGGAAGCAGAGAATCAAGTTCCCAGAGCAACAAAATTCCCTTTACATCTGATTTTTTAAATCTTGACTTCATTAGGGGCGCCTGGGTGGCTTAGTCGGTTAAGCATCCGACTTTCCCTTAGGTCATGATCTCGCGGTTCGTGGGTTCGAGCCTCGTGTCAGGCTCTGGGTTGACTGCCAGCTCAGAGCCTGGAGCCTGTTTCAGAGTCTGTGACTCCCTCTCTCTCTGACCCTCCCCTGCTCACGCTGTCTCTCTCTCTCTCTCTCTCCTAGAAATAAAAATAAAATAAAATCTTGACTTTATTATGTACTTGACCAGTTACAGATCTACCCCTTTCTTTTTAGTGTGAGAGAAATCATACAGAAAGAATAAAAGTCTCTTTTCTTCTCATGAAGTTGTCTTTCTGTAAATTAGGAAAGCTTTGCATCTCCGATTTCTATTACTTATTCTATGTGTTATTTTTATGTCTTCAGTCTTAATATTAGACATGGTCCGTAAGTATAGAATTACATCTAGAAGTAGTGTGACATACTAGCTCCTAATTCGGCAACTTCACTCTACTGAGGTTAATAATGATTTACAGGGGAGAGCAAGAGGGACAGAACAAGGTGTTCATAATAGCACCATTAATTATGTGCTTCGCATATCTAGATAGAAGAGCAGCATCATTTTCAGGTCCAATAAATTAAGTACTTTTTCTAGTTCCTTGTTCAGAATCATAATAAGGATAACTCTTAATGCTGTGTTGCCCCAAGAAAGTCTCCTGCTTCCTCATCTTCTTATCATTTCACATGGGATTTTAGGTTCTACTTGGCTCTGATTTATGTTACTACGTGAAAATGCTTAGATACCTAAATACACAAGTTAATCACTTGACTTCCAATGAGGGTTAAACAGTCTCTAATAAGCAAATAGCACATTAAGCGTCATCGATCATAGCTTGCAAATTACACTTGAGATTTGCCTAGGTACAGTTAAATTATAAGCATGAAAAGGCAGAACATGAGAGGGGAATGGTCTAAAGGTTAGAACCTAAACTTTGAGAATAACTTACATTATGCTAAATTTCTTGTTGGTGTCATGAGACTTCAAAAAAGAAAACCACATTACATGTGACATCTTATTTTAAATGCTTTTTAAATTAATTATTTATTAAGTAAGCTCCATACTCAATGTGGAACTTGAACTCATGACCCTGAGATCAAGAGTTGCATGTTCTACCGACTAAGCCAGCCAGGGGCTCCTAAATGTGACATTCTTCAAAAATATCTTCTATATCCCACTCCTTAAAAATCTGTGAACATAACTTTTATTCTTAACTGCCTCATCATCATAATCCATTCTTCCTTAATTAATATATTTGATCAATAAATAAAATTATGTCTTTCTGTGGTTTATCTAGGAATAAAATACCAAATAAATTGCAAAGAAAGGTTTTAAAAAGTATGCCTAGAACCTAAAGTTCTGGACTGCTCCAAAAATGAAGTAAATGTCCACATATCTTCATTAGCACAAAGGCCATCATCACATTTTATGATATTGGAAACAGGATTGTGTATCTATGTCAAATTTCTGAAAACACCACATCATATTTCATCACCCCAGAATGATTCCTCTGTGCTCTATTCCAGGAAAAGGAATGGGAAAAAAAACCAAAAAAAAAAAAAAAAAAAAACCCCACCATAATAGTTGTAGTTGCATTAACTTCAAAGCTGGCAATTCTGTCCCAAAGATTGTTTTCTTTCCTTTTTCAAATAAGACAAAAACAAAAAAAGCTTGGGTTCAGAGTATGGAAACTCATAAAAATAAAATATTTAAGAATATGTTGCTGAGAAATCACCCACAAATTACTTTCAGACCTTCAAAAAACAATCTACTTTGAATCACCAGTTTAAATAGGTCATTTAACTTAGAAAAATTAAAATTAGCTGTGCAGGGTCAATTTCTTTTCTAAAAAACAGCTGCATCCTCAGAGTTCTCTTGTCGTCAAAGTCAAACCAGAGCCAAATGTCAAGAAGAACTACAATATATGACTTTATTCCAAATCTCAAAGTTAGTCTGCTCTTGAAACGGCCATAAAAGTTAACATTATCTATTAAAACAGAGAGTCTGTGGGGTGCTTGGAGCATTTCAGGAGGATAATGGTATGGGGGCAGAGGTCCTCTCCCAAGGCTCATTTCTTGCCTCTCACCTGCACATGTTCCCAGAACATGGCAAATCAAAATCAGCCGAGACATACTTCATACAAAGCAAATACTTCCATAATACAAGTTTACGCTCCCACAAGTTTCTCTTATGTCAACCAGCAATATAAAAGATCATGAACCTTCATGTTCTTGTCCAACACCTTTAAGGACTTCATCATCCTGGTAAACTCAGGGATCAGATCCCTAACTCCCCCCCAAAAAAACCTCCCCAGGCATAAGAATAAGTACAAAATCCTGAAGGTAACATAAGCCTTAAAGAATGAGAACAATAAAACCAAACACAAATGAGACCATTTGACTGTCTGATATAGCCCATGTTCTTGCACAACCAGATCACCCATAAAATCAAAAGAACCCAACAATGTTGGAACAGGAGGGTGTCAACTGTTGGACCAAAGAGGCTGCCTTTAGAAGGCAGGGCGTCCAAGGTGCCTACCAGAGTGGGAATCCCATCTCAGGAAGGAGAGAAAGGAATCAGTTTTGTTTCATGACTCTCCATTGCCTCCGGGAAACGCACCCCCATCCTTTCTGGGTTAAAAGTAACTTTAAGGCTCGGAAAAAAGTACTTTTCATGTTGTCTAGCTAGCAACATTCTATCAACCACAGGCAAAAAGTGATCAGAAATGCTAATGGAACAGGTTTTCCTCTCAGCCCACGTCCCTAAAGCCACTTCCCCAAAATGAAATCTTGAGAATTCTGGATTCCCTCAAGATCTCTGCTTAAGGATTTAATGTAAGGACCTTTGCCGACGAGGAAGCAAACTGAAGACTTGACGTTAACATTTTGGGTTATTGCTAAAAGGAGCATGCTAAGCTACATTTTTCTTAGAAGGGTGAAACCCACAACAGAATTAGCATCTACTCATTTCCAGATGGAAGATAAAATTTTTATAACTTGCCCGGGACGGAGTGAAACAGTTTCACTCCAGCACCACCCCCTCATGAAGCAATGACAGAAACAGTCCCAGGGAGGCACAGGGCAGGATGACTCTCCTTCCACTACAGCCTCTCCAAATCCGCTTTTCGCCATGCTGGGTCAGTCCCCCTTCTTAGTCCCTCAGCTCGCGCCCTAAGCGGCCGGCCCCTACTCGCCATCTCCGGCTCGCAGCTGACTCGGCTCAGCAACCGCCCTTCCGCGCGTCCCCCTGGGCGGCGTCCCCCGAGCAGGGGAGGTTCTGGAAAGCCCGGGACAACGCGCGGGGGCCGGGCTGGGGAACCTCCGGGGTTCCGGCAGCCCAGGCTCCTGCCCCCACCTCGCCCCCACCCCACGCCGGAGCGGATTAAGTTGCTCTGCACCCCGCGGCGCGCAGGGCCCCCGCCCCTCCCACTCCCGCCCCTCCAGGCTCCGGCGCCCGGCGATCCCCCAGCCTCCGCTGAGGTGAGCGAGCACTCACCGGAGGTGAGCTGCATCCAGGCACAGATCTTGTACACCGTAGCCGTGTTGCAGAAGAAGAAGAGGGTGAAGCAGACGATGCAGGCGATGATGAGCATCATGGAGAGGCCGATGAAGAAGGAGGCGGCTTTGAAGGCGCCCGAGGGCAGCGTGGAGAAGTCCGTGAAGCTGCCCCTGCAGGTCAGCTCCCGGGAGAAGCCGTTGCCGATGCAGTAGTGGAAGAGCCCGAAATAGCCGGCTTGCGGGGTGTCCACGCCGTCGCCAATCCAGTAGGGCTGGATGAAGCACACCACGTTGACGATGGCAAAGCAGATGGTGAAGATGGCCCACAGCACGCCGATGGCCCGCGAGTTCCGCACATAGTTGGTGTGGTACAGCTTGGCAGCCTCCTGAGCCGGGAGCATCGCGGCGGCGGCGGCAGCGACGGCGGCTCCGGGCATTCTCCCCCTCCTCCTCCTCCTCCTCCTCCTCCTCCTCCTCCTCCTCCTCCTCCGCCTCCCCCCGCCTCTCCGCGCTCTGGAGACACACTCACCGAGCCGCGCGCGCTGCAACTCCCCTGCCTCTGCCTCAGCCCAGCAGCGCCAGTTTCAGAGTCTGCATCCTCGCTCCCGGAAGGAGGGCGGGGGAGCGCGGAGCACCCCTCCGGCTCGCCTGGCACAGCCTCCCCCCCCCCCCTCCCTTCCTCCCTCCTGGCCCGGGCTCCAGCCCTCCTCGCCGCCCTCCACCCCTCTTCCCGCCGCCGCCGCCGCTGCAGCTGCTGCAGCTGAAGGCGGCAAATCCCGCGCGGGGCAGTGTGGCGCGCGAGCTCTGGCGCCCCCCACTCCGCTTCCCGCCTTCCGCCCCATCCCCCGCCCCGCCGGCCGCCCCGGGGCGTGGAGGACCGCGACCACCCTGGGACGCCCCTCGAGTGGTGGGCGTGTGTCGGAGAAGCGGGCCTGGAGTTGGGGAAGGGGGGGGGGGTTGGAATCTAAGGAGCCAGCGGGAGCACCACAGGGATCCTAGAGGCGATCCCAGGATCCCGGTTGGTGTTAGGGAGAGGGCGTGGGAGGCTGGTTCAGGGAGCATTTCTGCACCGCACAGCAACGTGCTTCGACCTCTGCATCTTTGCGGAGGCGCGAGGGGCCGAGCGGCAGGTGCAGGCAAGAGACGCCAGGAAGAGGAGACGTACTGCCCCCCAGAGCCTCTCTGTTACGACCACAGAACTGCCCCCTGGCTAACTCCTCGGTTGGGAGGTGTTCCACGAGGTGGAGACAGGAGAAGTTGGACAGGAGCCTCGCAGACAATCATGTAAAAGGCGCACCTCAGGGGTGGTCTAATAGCTGCTCTACTGAGCTTGTTCCTCTTCGCGTTTCCCCCCCTCCATGTAGCCGACAGAACTGTCGCCAGTGGATGCCCTATACTTTCCCTTAAGTCAGGTCGTTTTCCCCACAAATCCTGCCGTAGATGGAGCCTGCGGGATATGCAAGTGACTGTGTCACAGAAACGGGTAGGTTGTCTGAAAACACTGGGTACTCTGGCTAGTGTGGTGTTTCTTAAGCAAATACTCATTGGCATCTGTTCTGCGTCTAGGTACTGTGCGGAGTGCTAAGGATACAATGAAGAAGACAGCAGACGATTGTTTTCATTGTCCAGGTATCTCTCACAGCCCAGAGCTCCAGCTAGCCAGAGAGTTGCTTTCAAGTAATTTTCCCGTGAACTATCCACGGGGTAATTCCTTACAGTTTCATGTAGCATTGCTGTTTTACACCTGCACTTTGTACTGTTTCCTAGGCTTAATGTTTTCCCTTTACAGTCATTTTGTTGCTCTTTTAACAGTCTCTGCCTTTCAGTCTCCATTTCCTTATTTCCATTGGCTACCCTTTTGTTTTCTTCTGATTCTGATGCAAAGAAACATGTAACTGCCTCCCTTCCCCACTCAAAGCAGTGAAACCAGAATGCTCAATACCAGCTGACGACATTGGTGATAAGCCATTTTGGCCCAGGTGACCATTGAATTCTCTGAGCAGAAAACAAAAGAATTCTGTTAAAATCTGACCCCTAAGTCTACACTCACTTCCATATTTTTCATGATGAAAAACATATAGGCTCCTTGATATCATCTTGCCATTATGCCCAAAATGCCCACCTTACAAGAGCATGAGAAACAGGGCATATCAGGTGGAATATGAAACTACCAGGAATGGATAGGAAAGCTTAGAATGGTCCAATGGGGGCAGAGGGTGTTGGGGAGGAAGGAAGAAAAGCTCCAAAAGGCACTCTGCTGCATAAATACCTATTACTTGGAAGAGGATTCAGGTCATACCCTAAGTGACGAAGACCAACCATGCCCATCATCTGATAACCCAAAGATTGGAGATTGTATGGAAAGAGGGAGAGAGTGGAAATAGGAATACAGGATGCACAGGATGATGAAGGAGCTATTGTTGAAACTGGGAAAGAATCTAAAGGATTAGTGTTGCAATCTTACATTCAGTTTGGCCTATAAGCATGAAATTCCAGTGTTACAATTCCAGGTTCTTTAGGCAGGTCTTTGGAAATCGAGAGGACAGAATTAAACAGGAGTATAAGGCCTGGAAGTTTAGGTGACTAAGAACTCTTTGCAAGGATGATTGTAGACTCTCAGAAGATCTTTAGAAAATCAGAGGCATTTGGGGGAGGTAGGGATGATGACCTAAATATGAGCCAGCCCAATATAACACTTGCAAGCCTCTAAAAATATAATTCACAATGATGCATCATCAGTGCATTGGTTGCAACGGAGGGTCAGAACTTCCGTTAGGTTTCATTTGTCTTAACTCCCCTGAAGTTGCTGGCAAATCAGAAAATCAGAAGAGTTTTAGTATGGAAGAAAGAAGAGGGAAGGTGAGGGTAATCAGATTTATGGGGCCATCTGGCAGGCCATGTGTCCCAGGGGCAGACATAGCTTTACAGCATGAACTGACAGTAATTTCTAGTGATTCTCCCAAGCCCTCAAATCCCCCTAAACCTGCTTGTATGAAGTGGTCTTTCTTTAAAATCAATGCCTAAAAGAGATCTTACTGCTCCCATGGGGTAGTTGGGATGGAAGGTTGCTGAGAGGGAAAAGTCTGAGAATCAAAAAGCCTGGCTTAGACCTCAGTGCTTAAATTGCCTTTATAGGACAGAGAAAAGACTGGTGAGTGACTCAGATTCAAATGTTGTGATTCAAAGAGCTCTTCCATTTGAGTCATACCCAAGGAGAGCCCTATTCTTATTCCAGGTTTGGAATTGCCTCTAGGTGCTCAGAATCGCTACACCAAAAAAAATAAAAACAAAAAAACAAAAAACAAAAACAAACAAAAACAAACAAACAAAAGAAAAACCCACCACACTTAAGGTGTCCACTCTTGTCCACAGCAACGAGGAAGGGACTGGTGGTGTTGGTGTCTTGCAGAATTAAAGTGCTCCCATCGATTCCCCTGAGAACTTGAGTTGTTGCTCCTTGAAGTGAGGGATCAGTCAGGGATGAACCGAATGCTGCCAATGACCCTGCTCCCTACCTTTATCCTGCCCTGCACCACAGCAGATTTCCAGGATAAGCAGGGTCTCCCAAGACTCTCAGAACTAGGGATGAACTAGAACTGCTCTAAACACTTTAGTTGCCATCACTGAATGCAGATTGTTCTTCTACATCTTCCCAAATCCTTCCGTTGTCCATCCCAACCTTGCCCTTGCCCTTGCCCTTTGCAAGCAGAAACCCCAGAGGCAAGATTGTCCCAAAACTAAATCTAAACTTCTATCTGACATCATGCAAACTTGAGGAGTTCAGACAGCTAAGCACCTGGGCAGCTCATTACATCCATCAAATAGGATGTGACCAGGAAAGCTGTTTGGGGGAAGAGGAAATAATAAAACTAGCTTGATTCATGCTAAGAAGTTACTATTGATAGAAGAGTATTTTGAAACTATAACATGATTCATATGTGCTAAATAACTAGTAGAAGTCAGTGTCACTGACAGCCTCAAATTAGACATACTGAACACTCAAATCTCAAACTTCACTGTTATAAATGTTTTTCTCTTACTGCCACAAAGAGTCAGTAGTGAGACCCACTCTTTTCCCAAATTGTTTCTTAATGAATGCTAGGACCACAAAACAGAAAACAACGAAAGAAGAATAGTTGGACTGTGTAACACAATTAAAAGGATTCTGGGTAAGTTAAACGATGAACTGTTTTGATCCCAAACTAATCTGTGATGGCTTGAGAAAGTGTGAAAGCCTTGGGAGGCAAAAGACAGGGTCCAGAAGCAATACCATCTCTGACTAACTGGGAGAGCCTGAGGCTCTTGGGGCCTCATTTTCTCATCTCTAAAATTATGATGAGGGAAAGAGGATATCAGATGAATTCCAAGGTCGCTTTCTGCAGTAGAATTCTATTCTGTTCTACAAAGATTATTCTAGGATGACTTTGCAAAAAAAAGATAAAACCCAGTACCTGCAGAAAAAATGAGGCAAGACCTAACAAGAGATATCAGACTCATGATGCAGACATTTTATTTGAAATTGAAAAACCCTTTCTGAAATCCAATTGTTATAATTTTTTCAGGCAATCGGTACTTAGTGTTTTCAGGTAAGTCATTGCTATGACCTTGGAAAATGGAGAAAGAGATGATTTCTAAAATCTGCTATTTAATCAATTTCTAGGGCTATTACCAAGGTCAGTATCAGATCCCACTCCAGAATATAGACTCTAATAATGAATCTCTTTTCTGTGACCAAGGATTTCCCTCTGCCTCTGTCCTCCTTAGTTCTTTTTTAGGGCTTTTCAGACATCAGGAAACACCTCTTAGTGAATCAGTCACTAGGTCAGCAGTGGCAATCAAATGCATTGAGTGTTTCAATGCCCCCTGCAAATCAAGATCACATTGATCACAAGGCTCTGATTTCATGCCACCTTAGTCTATACCACTTGCAAAGAGATGTGAGCTCCACATGAAGAAGTGGGAAATAGGAACATCAGTCATTCTCCTTATTTCCCTTTGTCCTCTCTTCTCCCCACCCCAGCCCCTCCCCACTTTTCTGCTATTTTGAATTGGATTCTAAGAATCACTCCTTTTATAAGTTCTTTTCACTTTTCTAAAACTTAGCTAAGAATATAAGATGTTTTCCCATAGGCTGAACACATCTACACTTTGTTCCTGAAGAGCCATCTCTCTGTTAACCTTTGTAAGCCCTTGATGATTTCAGAACAATTCTTTGTGAGGGTACGTAGTGACTTATATTGAATAAAATACTATAGGAGCATAATCGTCATTTGAGGTATGATTTTTTTAAGTCTGTAATGAAGCCATTATTATATTAAAGTTTCCAGTTCGGTATGTATGTTATATTCTCTTTCAATGTAGCACTCCTTGGGTCTTCCTGATTTTTAAAGAAAACAAGTCTATCTACTGTTAATTCTGAAACTGTTTCATGGAGTTT